TATGCGTTTGTGCGGGAATATTGTGCCACCGATGACCAGTTTGTTGAAGGCACATAGGTTTGCAAATCTCTCACCGTTTTCGTTCCTTTCTCCCAGTCCATGTCGTCCCATGATGTCTTCATATCCAGTGTTGTCCATGCCAACCTTGGCATTCAGATCTCCCATAAGAATCGTCAAATCCTTTGGTGAACATTTCTCGACGACTGACTGCAGCCTTTCGTAGAATTGATCTTTAACGTCGTCATTGTAGTCATTGGTAGGTGCATAACATTGGATGACGTTCATTGTAATGTCCTGTTTCTTTGTTTTGAAGGATGCTTTGATGATCCTGGGTCCATGAGATTCCCATTCTATAAGTGCCTTTTGTGCATGTTTGGACAGCATCAGTGCAACTCCTTGTGTATATGAAGCGTTTTACTCTTCATGACCAGAGTATAACAGCAGTTCCCCTGAAGAAAGTCTCAGTTGTCCTACCTGTGTCCAATGTCTTTCACTGATGCGGGGCACCTCGAGGTTGTATCTTTTCATTTCTGCCGCAACTTAAAATAGTCTTCCAGTCTCCCACAATGTACGAACGTTCCATGTACCTAAAAAAGTGGTTGCTCTGGTTGTCAGAAGAGGCATCGGCCCCGTGACTTCCGAGGGAACTCGGCTTTCATCACGCGACGTCATAATTCTTCCTCCAACTCCCAGGGCAGAGTTAAAATGGTTTGAATTATTTTTTCTGGTTAGCGTTTTTTTGGCAAGTTAGTTTTTGACGGAATGGGGTCACCAACCTCATGTCCAACCCTTCTCCTTTACCCTGGCTTGGGACCGGCAGTAGCCCCGAAGGTTCTACTGGCGGAGTGTAACAGGCGTAAGCTAGTAAGTAATTAGGGTATACGAAGCTAAATTGATTGATATACATATATATGTTACGCCTGCACATAAACACGTCATTTTGATATGCTTGAACTATTACGAGTTTACCTAGTCGGAAAACGAGAGCGAGGATCGAGGATCCGGCGACACGACATGCTACTCAAATCCGATTATCCCAACCCCTATATTTTGTAAAAAATAAGAAGTCTTGATATGAAGTATGACCAGTATTCTACAAGCATCCAGAAAGTACGAGGACAGACAGATACAACGCTGAACTTCGTACGTAAGTACATCAGTTTAGGGTTGCCGTGCCCCATCAGCACAGAGACGCAACTGTCAGTTCAAATCGAAGAGTGATAGCAATAATAGAAGTATTAGCAGTAATGGAGAAGATTAGGGAGCGAAGATATGATTCGAGAAGTATCATTCAGTAAGATAAATTTAGAGAGAGAAAAGTTGAGATTAGGAGGAATGCAGACGCTTAGAATTTCATAGAACACAAAGAGTGGATGCACCTGCGCCATTGCAAACGATTTTGAGCCATGTCATTCAAGGTCTCTAACCATCGGTGACTGTCGTCTCGCTGACCTCAACCAGGTAGCCTACATCTACCAACATGACTCAGTCCACTTGTCAGTGACTTCATGGATTTCTGCCATGTTTTGGTTTGGCCGCCCCTAGCTTTCTTCCAACCTACTCCTACACCACAAAAAATAGCTCGTCGCGGCAGTCGGTAGTTAGGCATACGTAACACATGTCCCAACCACCTCAACTGATGAAGTTTCACTACTTAATCTATTGATTTGCCATCCCTATCTATAAGTCGTTCCCTAACGACAGCATTGCTTATAAGGTTGTTCCACGATACACGAGCAATGCTTCGGAGTCATTGATGATCGATGACTAGTAACCTAAGGATATCCTCTACTCTTAACGGCCATGTTTCGCATCCGTACGGTAGGACGGAGCGAACTGCTACACAGTACACTCGTCCTTTGGTTAGCAAACGGATATCTCGCCTGTGCCATAGGTGAAGCAGGTTGGCAAAAGCCAATCGAGCCTTCTGTATCCGAGCTGAGATTTCGTCAGTCACCAGACCATCAACAGTGATAAGACACCCGAGATAGGTGAAGTGGTCTACACACTCAACTACTTCACTCCCTATCACTAGTTCAGGTGCTGATGAAACCCAACCTCGATGCAACATTTTGAAATTCGAGATGGAAAACTGCATCCAGATCATGCTTGCATTGTTGCTTGGGATGGTCGTAGAATTCTGCAATTTGTCAGCGTCTTCACCAAGTAGGACCATGTCATCAGCATATTCTAAGTCGATAAGAGAAAGTACGAGGTCCGAATCCAGAAGAGAATCAGGATCCCGGACATAGGGATCCAGGACCGGGTCCGGGTCATAAAACGTTAGAGATAATGCGCATTTATACATTTAGGTCGAATAGGAAACAGCATCAAAGTCTGTGACATTGACAGTAAAGTTGACTAATAGGAAGCAACGTTTGTAGTGACAATGACAGACAGGACAACCAACAAGAAACAACATTGGAGTGGAGCATGTGACATTGGCTTCTACTAGGACGACCATGAAATTGACCAGTAAGGAATTAACCAATAGGAATTGACCAATAACAACTCTTAGGATATTGGATGAATTATCCTAACAATACATGTGTATCAAGTTGGACACAGAATGAAATCGAAACCAAACTCACCACAATTAGACGTTGTTGTATTGATAACATTGTCGTCATTAGATTTCAATGAATTCGGCGTCAGTGCACCAGTGGCGGCAGGCACTGCTACTGAAGTCAAGCTAGAAACTAAAGCGGATAAGATTGCAATTGCTGTAAAACATGAATTATTTGATGATGATGACGATGATAATGAATTCGATGTTGGAATATCTGATATAGGTGGAGGGAGAGTTGATGTTGTGGTTGATTGCTGATTGGCAGTGGTTGTGACTATTATGGTTGTGTTGTTGGAAGAGTGAAGTGTTGTAGTTACTTCATTTGATGTAGATGATGCCAGGCTGTCATCAGTTTTTATGCTGGTGGGTTTTTCTGGAAAGAAAGGAAGTAAAAAAGGAGAACATATTCATAATTTGTATTCTTGGGAAAATAGAATCTCAAATATATATAAATATAAGCCTCGGCGTTCACATGCAACAGCGAAGATCTTGAATTTGAACCCTGCGAGTTGCAGGAGTCGTGGATGCACACTGCCAGTGATGGGGGCGGCAAGACCAAAACATGGCACAAATCCATGAGGTCATTGACAAGTGGACTGAGTCATGTCGGTAGGTATGGACTACCTGGTTAGGGTCCACGAGATGTTAGTAATTGATAGTTAGAGACGATGAATGACATGGCTCAAAACCGTTTGCAATGGCGCCGGTGCATTTATTCTTTGTGTTCTCTCAAACCCTAGACTTTGAATTCCTTATCACTCTATCTTTATCTCTTTAGGTCTTTTTTCACAAGACTCTACTTCTCGAATAATATTTTCTAATCCTAACCTCTCCGACTACTGCTAATATTGTTGTGTAGGAGAACACAGGTGGGGCAACCGAGTTGTATTTAGCGAAATTACAGAGTTACTCAGTAAAATCGGGAAACCATATCGTAAGTCGTTCATTTGCAAAATATCAGTCCATCACATCGAACTGGACTGTTCCTGTTGCAAAACATCAATCCATTGTCACTATTCATGCGTTTCATACATATACCATTGTGTTTTAACTCTTCCTTTCTTGATCTTCCCCCATCTTCTGCTGCCAGACATTACGTTGACACTCAAGTCATATACTGCTTATAAGTAGCTCGCACCACAATACCTTCACTATCTCTACTACTATTGGATTTGAATTGACAATTACATCTCTGTGCTAATGTGCTATGGCAACATGAACAGACGCACGTACGTACGAGGTCATACGTTGCTACTGATTGATTTTTTATAACATAATTTACTGGATACTACTAACATGAGTTTTAATAGTATGCAGCAACACAGTCACTCATAAATTATTACTGAAGAGAGAAGAGTATCAAAAAAATCGCATTGTATCACTTACTTTCTATACAACAATGATATTTGAAACTATTGAGACGAAGAAAATGTTGTCCACATTCTGCACAATCGTAAGTTCGAATCCCTACACACACACCAAAAACAAGAAGACACCATTATTAAACTGTTAGAAATAAAATTTATGTATATATATATATATATATATATATATATATATATATATATACATATCGATATAACAATAAAATGGGCAACTTAACTTTATGTCAGCAACAGAAACTATTAATGATGAAAAGACCATGGATAACGTCTCTGAGAAAAGTGTAATGAAAGCATGAAACAGTCGACTTCTCATGCGGTGCGCGCTACTTATAAGTAGTATATGACGCGAGTGTAAACGTAATGTCTGGTGGCAGCAGAAGATCGGGGAAGATCAAGAAAGGAAGAAGAGTGGGAACACAATGGAATTCGTATGAAACGCATGAATAGTGAAATGTCAGACAATGGATTGATGACGGATTGAAGATTTGCAAATTAATCGTTTACGATATGGTTTTTACTATTTTACTGAGTAACTCTGTAATTTACGACAAATACAATTCGGTCGCCCTCACCTGTGTTCTCCTTCACTACACCCACAACTCTGTCAGCTGCACGCTGAAAATTGATACACACATGAGTTCAGTTCACGTTGCCATACCATATTAGCACACAAAGAGATGGAATCGTGAATTTAAATGTGACAGTAGTAGAGGCGGTAGAAGTATAAGCAGTAATAGAGAAAATTACCGGTTTGGAGATGTGATTTAGGAAGTATATAACCCAGTGATTTAAGAAAAGATAAAGTTCGGGAGGAACTGAGAAGATCGGAGTTTGAAAGAAGACAATGAATGGATGCACCTGTATCGTTGCAAACAACTTAGAACCATATCATTGAAAGTCTGTAACCACCAGTTACGACTGTCTCACCGGTCCAAATAACTAAGCCGACACCTAATAACATGAATCAATCCACATATCAAAGGCTGCATGGATTTGTGCCATGTTTCAAGCTTCTTTCAAACTCTGCCTAGAGCTCTCTAGGGTTACTGCTTGTCCCAAGCCAAGAGAGAGTTTGGGTGGGGGGGGTTGGATATTGGGTTAGCGACCCCGTTCCAAAGAAATCTAACGCGTCGAATAAGAAACGATAACCAGAAAAATGATTTACTGGGCGGCGGCCTATCCTCCAGAAGATGTGGCAGGCGTAAGTAAGTAAGCTTTGTTCTAGCCTACTTTCTACATCACACAATATCACTTGTAGAGGAAGTCGGTGAATAGGCATACGTAGCACATGTCTCAAACAAACAGTTCAGTTGATAAAGATTCACTATTTCGTTAACTGATTTAACAGCCTTAACTACTACCTTTTTCTTAACATCTGTATTGCATACTCAATGGTTCAAAGCTAAAAAAGACTATTTGTTTTGAAGACACTTATGATCGAATACTAGTTAAACCAACGAATCTCCTCTACTCTTACTGGCCATGTTTCACATCCGTATAGTAGGAGAGAGCGAACTGTCGAGCAATACACTCGGGTTCTTTGCATTTATGAGTGGGGGGTCGGATGTTACTTCCCGGCTGCCCACAACGTGTAAGAGTTTTTCTTGAGGAACCTGAAAAAGAGAGTAGATTAGCGTTGGTCTTAACCACCTGGGAGCGTGACCGCAGAGCCCAAGGGACTATTACTTCAGGTCGATCACGCACGGCCTTTTTATGAAAGGATTTTTGAGTATTAGCTCGGCTCTTAAAAGCCTTTAGTGGGCACCCTTAACGCTGGAGACGGAAATCCGTGAGACAGGGTGAGGTATGACATTTTTAGGGTCAACGTTTGCAACCCCTTCCTTCCTTGTGAGAAGGTAGCATCGCTGCAGATGCTGGTTGTCCTAGGGAAACACCTTACTGCTGTCACATCTCTCTACAGTCAGCAGTACGACTTCGCTCTCAGAACTTGAGTAGCTGCTTTTAGTCTCATCGTTATCCAATCGAACTGCCTGGCATGGTCGAACCTACAGGAACATATGTTTCAGCCAGTATAGCTCGGTTGGGTCATCACGATAGGCAAATCCGACCACCACGTATCAAGCAAGGTATCGGGAAGGATGCAAGGTATGTGTGTGTAAAAACATCGCATAATTTGATACATAGATCAATAAGCAACCCAAGAAAAGGCCTAAATAAGAATTCTTTGTTTCACTAACAACTTACTCTGATGTGCAGTACGTTTATGATAACGTAAATGTGTAACAGTGGTAAATCGTTCGTCACACTGCTCACAAATATGTTCCAATGTATCTAGAAATAAAAAAATCAAACAAATGGAGTCTCATCATCAAATCTAACACAGTTAGTTTTCTATGCAGCATTTAGAGAATAAGCAACTTACAGAATTGGTTTAAGCTAGATAACTGAAGGAAAAAACATTGAAATGAATCAGGTAACAACTCTTAAAACTGATTTATAGATTGTTATTATTATTATCATTGTGTAATGTAGTCGTCAGTGTGACATGTTTTCTGTATGTGAACTATATGTCTCCTTTGAACATATGTGGAGGCTGGAGCTACCGGATGGTAAAATCAATAGATGAAGTAGTGATTGGGACATGTGATACGTATGCCTAACCACCGCGATGAGCTATGTTTCGCAGTGTAGGAGTAGGTTGGAAGTAAGCTAGGGGCGGCCAAACCAAAACGTGGCAGAAATGCATGAATTCACTGACAAGTGGACTGAGTCATGTTGGTATATGTAGACTACCTGGTTCAGGTCCGCGAGATGAAAATCAACGATGGTTAGAGACCTTGAAAGACATGGCGCAGAATCGTTTGCAATGGCGCAGGTGCATCCAATCCTTGTGTTCTGTGAAATTCTAAGCTTCTGCATTCCTCATCACCTTTACCTTTCTCTTTCCAAATTTACCTCACTGAATTATACTTCTTGAATAACATCTTCGAAATCGAATCTTTCCGATTACTTCTAATACTTTTACTACCTCTACTACTACTATGAGCTTTGAATTGACGTGGTATGGCAATCTGAACTACTGTACTTACGCGCAAAGTTCTACGTTGCTGTTGATGATGATAACCTGTTGTCTATTATTCACTTATATCTTAGTTTTTTTTATCCGAATATGCGTGTGTACTGCTTAGTTCGCTTATTTTTTCTGATGAGCTATGCTTCATCGCAGGCAGTTGGTTGGCTCGCTTGCCTTCCCTGCTTCGCTTATATGTTTTTCATTCTCATCTCCCTGCTTAAACGAATGTATGGACGAGTCCAGTATTTGGCATCTCACATTATCGGTGTCGCGCAAACGGGGTTCCACTTAAGCATATGAAATGGAAGGGGAGATTTAATTCACAGCATATAGCAGTTAGATCGCTAGCCACTAAAGTACACTTGTTATCCGAATTAATTATTTTCGGCATATATATATATTAGAGATTTTTTGCCAGTAGTGCTTTACTTGACACCAGTCAATGTTAAAAATAAATCTTGCTTACAAATTAAAACCAAAAACAAATGAAAAAAACAACATGAATATAGGATAGTGAATTACAAATGAATTCTTTTGCTTACCACCATCACTACTATTAATATTATTACAGCATAATGTGGAATGAGATTTCCATTCTTTGAGTGTAGAAAATGTAATTCCACATGTAACACATTGTTTGGATTTTTCATCTTAATAACAACAACAACAAAATAAGATTTTTGTAAGTACTTTTAAAAGAATTTTTTTGAAAATGAGATCAGTAATAAGGTTGAGATTAAATGTAGGATTACCAGAGCGAAAAAAACTGAGAAATTTGTTGATAAGATTGTGAATTTTGTATCAACTGATTTCCGAACCCAACCATTGTGCAATTTTCATATGTTATATTATAGCAGAAGGTGAAGAGCAACCATCTAAGACATGGCATCATTGCGTAGGCTTCTTATCAGCTTGTGCTTAATTTAAACTCCTGCTCCTCATCATACTCAGAGCCCGATAGGATGAGTTTTCGAGCATCCATAGTTAGGGTCCGCGAGACAAAAGTCACCAATAGTTAGGAGACCTTGAACGACATGGCTCAAAATCGTTTGCAATGGCGCAATGTGCATCCATTCACTTGATGCTCTCTCAAATCCTAATCTTACGGATTCGTCAGAACCTCTACCTTTGTCTTTCCTAACCTTATCTCACTGAATTATACTTCTTGAATAATATCTTCGAAGCTCTAGTCTTCTTCATTACCATTAATACATCTACTATCTCTAGCATTATGGGATTTGATTTGACATTTGCGTCTCTGTGCTAATGTTGTATGGTAACCTAAACTTACGTACATACGTACGAAGTTCTGCGTTGCAAATGAACTGACTGACATCAGTTCAATATATGCTATTGAAATCCATCGCTTCTCCCTAACCTTATTGTTTACCTTACTAGCAGATATAACTGCTGTTTTCACAGCATTTCGGATATCATTCCAAGCTACGTCGAAGTGAGAATCACCTACATAACCGCATAAATGATTTTCTCTTTGCTCCTGGTTTTGCTACCTATCAAGCTGATCCCTAAGAGGTTTCATTGTGATGTCTTTCCTACGTCCAATGAGACGCAAACAAATAAGCGATCGCACTACAGCATAGTCTGAGTATGAACATGTACCCTAGAATGAGCAACAGTCTTCTATCGAACCCCTCCATCGGTGGCTGATAGCAATGTGACTGAGTTGTAGTGATCTGTATAGTATACCAACTAGTTATATGCTCTGTGTGGTTTCGAATTTCGAGGAAGAGAATCGCATCCTTGAAAATGCTTGCATTATTGTTTAAGGTCGTCAAAAAACAGTATTTTGTCAGCGTCGTCACCAAAGAGAACTATAAGATCAGCATATTCTGAGTGAATAAGTGAATTTCCCGGTAAAAGTTCAAAACTCCGCAAAAGACAGATGATAAATCTGTCGTACACAAAAGCAAGTTAATGACAAAGTTAAACAAGAATGAAAAGAGTGGATAGGCCTGACGAACAATAATTGAGGTAATCAGTTCTGATAACAGTTCAACATAAGCTCTGACTCAACCAGTAATGTTCGAGTAAAGAGCCTGTATATACTTCATTGGTACTCCTTTCAATGACAAACACTGCAACAGAACCTCATGATCAACAGAGTCCAATGCCACCTTAAAGTCGAGGAGTACAACTAATGTCGAACGCCGAAATGTGTATCTGTGTTTCAGGACCTGACGCTTCATCTTATCTATTTCATTTATATTACTAAGTCAGCTCCTTCTTTGGCTCATTTGAAGTCTCTCATCAAATGTGACCTCACTGCTGTTCATACAAACTTATGACGACTGACAACTTTAATTTTTTTTCAAACTCTAATTCCTTCTGTCATCATTGTCAATTGCTTTGCATCATGTCATATCTTATTGTTAATACACTTGATTACATATAAGTTTGTTAAGCTACGCATGAAAATCAAAGTGTGAAATTCTCGCTTTATGACTATACTACTTATTAGTAGTGTCCGAGTTCATCTCTCGTTTTTTCCTCCTTGTATCTCATTACATCAACCAATTAACTATGTTCTTATTGGTTGAAAACATATTTTGCTTAGGCAGTCATGTTTACATTGAGCTGTTTGACTATTGTTGCTATTGTCGTTCTAACAACTTGCGTGTAAGCTTAATATCCACAGAATGTTTATAACACGAGGGTATAATAGTTTATACAAGTTCAAGTACATGTCAATAATTCAAATCATGAATCAGTCATTGTTATGCCACCATTCGAAACCTGGAAGCACTGGACGGCTGTTTCGTCCTGATATGAGTCGTGGATACACATTGCCACTGATGATTAGTCCCATACCAGGACGAAACGACTATCGTCCACTAGCGCTGCAAATCCATCCACGATCACGCATTCAATAATCGAACCCAAACAGTACAAATGCACATTATCTGTACTAATTTAGTTTAAATTAAATAGTAAGTACTACTAATGTAAAGAAAAACTCAAAAGTTAAATTACCATTATTATTATTATTATGTGAAGTGTTCAGATGACGAGTTAAAGCAATTTGTCGACTAAATTGATCACCACATAATTCACAAGTAAATTTATTTTTCTTGTCTATAAATAAAAAAAAGGTGCAAAACAACATACAAACAATCAAATAGTTTATAGATATGGGATTTGAATAAAATAATCTCTTGTTCTCTAGGAATAATATATCGATTAGAAACAGCTGAATATGGTAGATTCTACATATATATATATATATATATATGTATATATATATATATATATATATATATCTGTTTTTCCCTCAAAATTTGAGTTTTTTTAAGGTCATTTTCCTATTTGAAATTCGGAAACGATCTCATCAGAAACCTGGAAGCAGCAGATATCTGTTTCGCCTAAGTATGAGACTCATCAGCAGTGCACATACAAGAATTGAACCCAAAACATACGGTCTTTTGTACGAACACAATTTCTAGACTACTAATAAGCTGTTATCTAGTGGCGTCAATGTCTAACTTCATGATTTCGAGCAACCTGTAGTGAAGGAGAACACCGGTGAAGGCAACCGGATTGTATTTATCGAAAATTACAGAGTTACGCAGTAAAATAGGAAAACCATATCGTAAATCGTTAATTTGCAAATCTTCAATCCATTGTCTGACATTTCCCTTATTCATGCGTTTCATACAAATTCCACTGTGTTCTAACTCTTCCTTTCTTGATCTTCCCCCATCTTCTGCTGCCAGACATTACGTTGACGCTCACGTCATATACTACTTATAAGTAGCACACACCAATTGAACTTCGGAAATGATCTCAGCTAAGACCAGTATCAGAAACCTGGAAGCAGTAGATAGTTAGTTCGCCTAAGTACGAGACTTGTCAGCAGCGCACATCCAAGAATTGAACCCAAAACATACGGTTTTTTTGTGAGAACACAATATCTAGACTACTAATGAGCTGCTATTTAGTGGCGTCAATGTCTACCTTCAATCAATTCATGATTTCGAGCAACCTTCATCGATTTCCTATGGTGGATTACAACTGTCTTCTATGGGACACGTATGATACCCCACTAGTCACGGCCTCTTATACGTTTTATTCTAGATGTTGAATCAGTTTTCTACTACTAATAAAACTACTACTGATATCGTTACTCAATAGTATGAATCTGATAATTTAATTATTTTGTTGTACTATGTAGTAACTTGAAATCAAGTGTCGCCAGTAACTCTGAATTGCTTTTGTAACGAATTGAAAGCGGGCAGCAGTAGTAAGAAAAACAAAAACGCCATGTGAATAATTTAGACTACTTTTCATTCCATGAAATCATTGACAAATGGATTCAGTCATGTCGATAAGTGTCGACTACTTGGTTGAGGTCCGCGAGATGATAGTAACCGATGGTTGGAGACCTTAAATGACATGGTTCGAAATCGTTTGCAAGGGCAACGGTGCATCCATTCTTTGTGTTCTCTCGAATTTTAATCTGAATCTCTCATGACTTTCATCTTTCTCTTCTCACTGAATTATACATTTCGAATCCTAATCTTTTCAATTACTGTTCATACTTCTACTACCTTTACCATTATGGGATTTGAATCGACAATTGGATCTCTGTGCGCTTATGTGGTCTGGCAACTTGAACTGATAAACGTACGTACGAAGTTCTACGGTGTAACTGACTGACTGAGTTTATATTTGATTTAGAGATCCCACATACACACAGAATTCAAACTTCGTAAACCATTCGTTGGCATCAGTGTGTAGGTTAACTCCGAAAACGGATTGGAGCCCCTCTAGGGCTACTGCTGGCTTTCAGGCCCGGATAAAGGAGGTGGGTTGGACATGGGATTGGTGACCACCCTATCCGATAGGAAAAGTAACTCACCAACAAAAACGCTAACTAGAAAAAAGTACGGATTGGAGTAAAAAACACAACAGTGATGTGTGACAGAGCGCATTTCTTTTTTTACAACACTATTGTCAGTCATGAGTATTTTCAAAAAATTTATGACAGGATGACAGACTGAAATATAAGGAAACTGTTGAGGATGTTAGATCCCCAGAACCCGCTTGATAAATATCTTTATTTTCGATTTGTTTCATGGACCGATCAAATGACCTTGAGATTTCATTTCCCACTAGGAACAGCCTTAGCTGTGATTGGTTATTGTGTTATTTTAGTGTGCTATTTTGTGATTCGCCCGAAGACGTCTCTATGGAGTATAAATAAACGCGATTTGTGTGCTTGGATTCATTGTGTGTGCTGGCTGGGTGCTGTAGAATACACTTCCTACGTTATGTCAAGACTTCTTGCTAGTGCATTTCGGTCAAGGGATCCGAATAGCCGACCTGGACGCTGGTTCATTGTTTTGTTCTCGTTATTCAACTTAGGTGAACCCTTAAAATTTTTAAGCATATC